TGTCGTGCCATGGAAGAGGAGCCATCCCAATTTGACCCTTCAACAAGATTGGGCGCCGGCCCACGGAGCCAAAACAACAATTCGCTTTCTCGAAACCAAAATTGGCTCTTTTTTGACGAAGGATCAATGGCCTGCAAACAGCCCGGATCTCAATCCGTTGGACTTTTCGGTTTGGGGTTTTATGGAAGAACAATTGAGAAATAGAAAAATCACCAATTTGAATGATTTACGTCGAGAATTGATCAAAATCTAGAACGACTTAGATGCAAATTATCTCCGCCGCACCGTCGATTCTGTAAAGAAGCGAATTGAAGCCTGTATCAAAGCGGATGGAGGCCACTTCGAAAATTTCTTGTGATTATTAAATGCTTTTGTTACAACTATTATATAAATAAAGATTTTTACATTTTCTTTGAAAGAAAATTAAATTATGGCGTTTTCTTTGGCGCACGTAATTATCAGCCACCCTGTAGTTATCTAGATCTCTAGCTATCTAGCTATCTCGCTATCTAGTTATCTAGCTATCTAGCTATCTAGTTATCTAGATCTCTAGCTATCTAGCTCTCTAGCTATCTAGCTATCTAGATCTCTAGCTATCTAGCTATCTAGCTATCCAGATTTCTAGATCTCTAGCTATCTAGATCTCTAGCTATCTAGCTCTCTAGCTATCTAGCTATCTAGCTCTCTAGCTATCTAGATCTCTAGCTATCTAGATCTCTAGCTATCTAGATCTCTAGCTATCTAGCTATCTAGCTATCTAGTTATCTAGATCTAAACTTATCGAGTTATTCAAAGCTCTTATAGATATGTGCTGATGGCTTTTTTGGAGATCCGCTTGAAGTAAACGGCACATGTGTGGAGTGTGTTTGCAATGGGAATATCGATCAAATGGTTAGGATTAGAGATTTAATAAAGCCGGATTAAAACCAACGATTGGCTCAGGATAAGACCAAGGCTTAACTCAAGCCTTGGTCTACCATTACCTTGGTCTAACCAATACCATTGATTCATTTAGAAAGCTTGATCCCAGCCTAGCTAGCTAATTTTTCGATTTAGATCCCATGAAATCAATGTTGTTATCCAAAATTTAGATAACAACACAAATTTAGGCGATTGGTAACTGCGATACACGAACGGGTGATTGTTTAAAATGCATTGGGCATACAACAGGCGTCCATTGTGAGGTGAGGATGATGGAAAAGGGAAAAGAACTAGAGCTGGTGAAGAACAAGGGAAGAACAAGGGAAGAACAAGGGAAGAACAAGGGAAGAACTAGTCAAGAACTGCTCAAGAACAACTCAAGAACTAGTCAAAACCTAATCAAAACCTTACAGTAAGATTCAAGCTATCTATCTACTTGAAATCTTCTTCCAGAAATGCCTTCCCCATCACTATGGCTCGGCGCTCACTCACACTTGTCATCCGTGTGATTGTCATCGACAAGGAGCCACTTCACTTCAGTGTGACACCGGTGAGCTCTAGATCTAGCTCTAGCTCTGCCTGAATTGCCTGAATTGTCCTCTGAATTGCTTCGAGTAATTGTAGCCCTTTAGTAGACAAATGCTAAGCTTAGATAGCTTTCTACAATGGAAAAACCTAAGCTAGTATTGTAACTAGACTAGTTCTACCGTAATCTACAGACTACAGTTAGCTACAGTAGTCTACAGTTAGCTACAGTAGTCTACAGTAATCCACAGTCGTCTACAGTAGTCTATAGTAGTCTACAGTAATCCACAGTCATCTATAGTAGTCTACAGTAGTCTACAGTAATCTCTTTACAACAATCTACAGTATTCGAACATTTAAGCAATTGGTGTCTGCGAGTGTAAAGAGAACTACATTGGTCGACATTGTGATCGTTGCAAAGAAGGGCACGGCGATGTAGAGAATGGGTGTGAGGAGTGCAGGTGAATTCAAGAAAGATACAAGAAGTGACTACAGTAATTAGCTACAGTAATTAGCTACAGTAAGCGGCTACAGTAATCCTATAGTCGCTACAGGCATTCTATAGTCGCTACAGACATTCTATAGCCTCTACAGAGCTTCTAGAGTAACTACAGTAATCCTATAGTCGCTACAGGCATTCTATAGTCGCTACAGACATTCTATAGCCTCTACAGAGCTTCTAGAGTAACTACAGTAATCCTATAGTCGCTACAGGCATTCTATAGTCGCTACAGACATTCTATAGCCTCTACAGAGCTTCTAGAGTAACTACAGTAATCCTATAGTCGCTACCGTAATCCTCTATTCGCTACAGACAAGCTATAGTAGCTACAGTAATCCCATAGTAGCTAAAGTTCTCCTATAGAGGCTACAGTAACCCTATAGTCTCTACAGACATTCTATAGTCGCTACAGTAATCCTATAGTCACTACAGTAACCCTATAGTCTCTACAGACATTCTATAGCAGCTAAAGTAACCAATTGATTCAAATATAATTCTCAATTTCAGGTGCGACCCCATTGGCTCCCTTGGTCCCGATTGTGAGCCCGTCTCTGGGCAATGCTCCTGTAAACAGGGTGTTTTCGGAAAAAGGTACAGTACAGTTTAGAAATAGCTACAGTAATCCTATAGTCGCTAGACATCCAGTTAAAGAGATTTAAAAGCTGTTTTGCTTTTAGATGTGATCAATGCCGTCCCTCGTATTTCGCCTTTTCTGACTCGGGATGTCAATTTTGCAATTGTAACACCTATGGATCGATTGAGGACGGAAAAGTACAATATTGTTGTTGTATTGTTGTACTTTATTGTACTTTATTGTACTTTATTGTACTTTATTGTACTTTATTGTACTTTTTGTACTTTATTGTTCATTTTTCAATCAATTCCAGTGTGACAACGTGACTGGAGCCTGTCAGTGTCGACAATTTGTTGAGGGACAAATGTGTGAGAAGTGCGCGCACGGCTATTTCAATATCACGTCAGGGCTGGGATGTCAGGTAATGTACTGCTATGCACTATGTACTGCTATGTACTATGTACAGCTATGTACTGAACTAGGCGTACTCTAGCTTCCAGTACTCTTCCAGAAGACTGTACTCTTCCAGAAAACTGTACTCTAGCTGTATTTAAATCTTCAGGAATGTAACTGTGACGAGGTAGGCGCTGAAAGTGATGGCTGTGATCTAATCACCGGACAATGCGAGTGCAAACCTGGAGTGACCGGCTTAAAATGTGACCAATGTGCGCCAAATCATTGGGGACTCTCCGAAAGCGGGTGCAAAGGTGGGCACATTTTTGCAATAAAACCTTGTACCAAAAGCACCCCGTCGCTTTTTACATCTACGCCAGTTTCCTTTTCCTTCAACATCTCCCCTGACCTCCAGCTTAGCTAGTGCTTTCATCAGAATAGCTCTTTTTCTTCTCATTGTTGCCATTTTCTCCCATTCTCAATCATCCTCACTATCGGCTTCTCCCCTCGACGTCCATCGCCGATCTCTTTCCCTTCAACATCTCTACTGATCTCCAGCTTGACCCGTGCTTTCATCAGAATATCTCTTTTTCTTCCCATTGTCACCATTTTCTCCCATTCTCAACCATCCTCACTATCGGCTCCTCCCCTTGACGTCCACCCCTCTCTCTTTCCAACCCAACATCTCCCCTGACCTCCAACTTAGCCCGTGCTTTGATCAGAATAGCTCTTTTTCTTCCCATTGTCGCCATTTTCTCTCATTCTCAACCATCCTCACTATCGGTTCCTCCCTTCGAAGTCCATCGCCGATCTCTTTCCCTTCAACATCTCTACTGACCTCCAGCTTGACCCGTGGCTTCATCAGAATAGCTCTTTTTCTTCCCACTGTCGCCATTTTCTCCCATTCTCAACCGATCCTACTATCGGCTTCTCCCCGCGAAGTCCACCCCCTCTCTTTCCAACCCAACATCTCCCCTGACCTCCAGCTTGACCCGTTCTTTCATCAGAATAGCCTCATCTCTTTTCCAACTCTCTAATTCCTCCCATTCTCAAATCATTCAAGCCGATTTCCATAATTTTCGCTTTCTCCCCTTTCTCTCCCCTTCAACATCTTTCCTGCGTTCCGGCATGTCTCGAAAGGAATAAAAAACCCTGTCTTCCGCTAATGCTAACAAGGATCTATTAAACTAAAAATTCTAACAAAAAAAAGGAGTATAAAAGGTATATTTAAAATCCTTTCAGAATGTGCCACTTGTCCAGCTGCTGGTCAAGTCTGCGACGCGGTGACGGGTGAGTGCGTTTGTCCGCCGAATACTGTGGGTGAGCTGTGTGAGAGGTGCACGGAAGACGCTTGGGACTATCATCCGCTGGAAGGGTTTGTGATAGAATTTGCTGTAGGATTTATCGTATTGAATAGAAGACCAGGTAAAGAGTATGATCGCGTAGCAGCCCTCCTGCGTAGCAGCCCTTTTTAGCTTTCAATCAAGTGTTATAGAGCTGGAAAATGGCTCAACAAATCTGTTAGAGAGAGCGAAAATTATGGAAATGGGCTTGAATGATTTGAGAATGGGAGGAATTAGAGAGTTGGAAAAGAGATGAGGCTATTCTGATGAAAGAACGGGTCAAGCTGGAGGTCAGGGGAGATGTTGGGTTGGAAAGAGAGGGGGTGGACTTCGCGGGGAGAAGCCGATAGTAGGATCGGTTGAGAATGGGAGAAAATGGCGACAGTGGGAAGAAAAAGAGCTATTCTGATGAAGCCACGGGTCAAGCTGGAGGTCAGTAGAGATGTTGAAGGAAAAGAGATCGGCGATGGACTTCGAAGGGAGGAGCCGATAGTGAGGATGGTTGAGAATGAGAGAAAATGGCGACAATGGGAAGAAAAAGAGCTATTCTGATGAAAGCACGGGCTAAGTTGGAGGTCAGGGGAGATGTTGGGTTGGAAAGAGAGAGGGGTGGACGTCAAGGGGAGGAGCCGATAGTGAGGATGGTTGAGAATGGGAGAAAATGGTGACAATGGGAAGAAAAAGAGATATTCTGATGAAAGCACGGGTCAAGCTGGAGTTCAGGGGAGATGTTGGGTTGGAAAGAGAGAGGGGTGGACTTTCTACAGAGCTTCTAGAGTAACTACAGTAATCCTATAAGGACTGCTACGCAGCAGTACGCGATCATACTCTTTACCCGGTCTTCTATTCGAAGAAATACGGTAGTCTTGATTCAGTGATTCCTATAGAATCACTGTATTCTCCAAACTTCAGCCTTCTCAGCAGAATTCGTTTTTTAAAAGTTTGAGTGTTTAGGAAGCTACCGTAATCCTTTCTTACGGTAGTTTTCCAAATTATTCAGCTTTTAGGAAACGCTAAAGTATCCTCGTTTGTTTAAGACTTAGAAAAGAGGATTTAGCCTTGAGAATGCTATTTAGCTACCGTAGTCCTTTAGTTACCGTGTTGTCTTAGCTACCGTATTCTCTAAGCTACCGTATTCCTATAGCTACCGTATTCTTTTACCTACCGTATTCCTCTAGCTACCGTACTCCTCTAGATACCGTAATCCTTTAGCTACCGTATTTCTTTAGCCACCATAGTCCTTTAGCCACCGTATTCCCACAGTTATCATATTTCCCTAGTTACCGTATTCTTTTAGCCACCGTACTCCTCTAGATACCGTATTCCTTTAGCCACCGTATCCCTTTAGCCACCGTATTCCTTTAGCCACCGTATCCCTTTAGCCACCGTCTTCCTTTAGCCACCGTATCCCTTTAGCCACCGTATCCCTTTAGCCACCGTATTCCTTTAGCCACCGTATCCCTTTAGCCACCGTCTTCCTTTAGCCACCGTATCCCTTTAGCCACCGTATCCCTTTAGCCACCGTCTTCCTTTAGCCACCGTCTTCCTTTAGCCACCGTCTTCCTTTAGCCACCGTATCCCTTTAGCCACCGTATCCCTTTAGCCACCGTCTTCCTTTAGCCACCGTATCCCTTTAGCCACCGTATCCCTTTAGCCACCGTATCCCTTTAGCCACCGTATCCCTTTAGCCACCGTATCCCTTTAGCCACCGTATCCCTTTAGCCACCGTATCCCTTTAGCCACCGTATCCCTTTAGCCACCGTATCCCTTTAGCCACCGTATTCCCTTAGTTACCGTACTTCACTGTAGTCTTAGCCGTCATACCTGAAATTATCAGAAATCAAAATCCAGAATCAAACGAAAATCAAACGAAAATCTAGATGTAAAACGTGTGAGTGCTCAGATGTTGGAGCCGCTTCAAGCAAGTGCAATCCAAGAACAGGACAGGTGAGGAAGGAAATCAATCAATCGATCAATGAAACAAATCCCCCAATTCTAGTGTGAATGCAAAGAGGAGTTTGTCGGATTGAAATGCGATCGATGCTCTCACGGTGAGTTCGTCTATTTTCGTAGCTAGCTATGGGTAGCTAGAGCTATTTTCCTCTTTACATCAGATTTAGAGCTATAGGTTTAGAGCTTAGCTCTAAGCTCTAAACCTATAGCTCAATAGTTGTCTCAATAGTTGGTTAGAGTCTCATTGTCTCATTGTCTCATTGGAGTCTCAATAGGCGGTTAAACAGTTGATTAAATCAAATTTGGCAAAAGACTTTTATGCTAAATAATCTATTAGAAAGGCGATTTTGGATTTGAATATAAAGCTATCTGGTGAAAAGCTATGTAGCTACAGTATGCAGGCTACTGTAGCTATGAAAAGCTATTCTGATGAAGAAAATCGAGCCGGCTTCAAGTTTGAAGCCTTTCCTGTTGCTTAGCTAGACGATCGTGCTTTCAGTCTAGTTTCTATAGAAGTCTTGGAGTCTTGAAGCTATAAGTCTTGGAGGTATGAAGTCTTGGAGCTATAAGTCTTGAAGCTATGAAGCCTTGGAGCTATAAGTCTTGGAGTCTTGGAGCTATAAGTCTTGGAGTCTTGGAGCTATAAGTCTTGGAGTTTTGGAGCTATAAGTCTTGGAGTCTTGGAGCTATAAGTCTTGGAGTTTTGGAGCTATAAGTCTTGGAGCTAGCCTCAGAGCTATCAGCTAGGCTTCTAGATCAATCAGCTTCTAGATCAATCAATCAGCTTCTAGAGCAAACAGCTTCTAGATCAGTCAGCTTCTAGATCAAACAGCTTCTAGACTTCTAGATCAATCAACTTCTAGACCTCCTTATCAATCAGCTTCTAGACTTCTAGATCAATCAGCTTCTAGATCAGTCAGCTTCTAGATCAATCATCTTCTAAACCAATCAGCTTCTAGTCTTCTAGATCAATCAGCTTCTAGCCCAATCAACTCCTAGTCTTCTCTACCAATCAACTTCTAGGCTTCTTCAACTTCCCTACTTGTGAGCCTTGTGCCTGCACACCAGAAGGCACAGATCCACTTCAATGTCGCGAAGGCTTGTGTCTCTGTGATGAAAAAGGGAAATGTCCATGCAAGGTTTGTGTTAAACTTTTTGAAATCATAAGATTTCTTAGAAAAACGTGGTTGGAGAGAAATGTGAGATGTGCAAAGATGGGTCTTTTTCATTGGATTTATCGAATCTACTCGGATGCACGGAATGCTTTTGTTTTAATCGATCCACCTCTTGTGAACAAGGGAAACTTGTTTGGTTTGTTGCAAAGATTTGTAGAGCTGCAGGGTTACTGTAGCTACAGTCTGCAGGCTACAGTAGCTACAGTCTGGAGGCTACAGTAGCTACAGTCTGGAGGCTACTGTAGCTACAGGATGCAGGCTACAGTAGCTACAGGATGCAGGGTACTGTAGCTACAGGATGCAGGGTACTGTAGCTACAGGATGCAGGGTACTGTAGCTACAGTCTGGAGGCTACTGTAGCTACAGGATGCAGGCTACAGTAGCTACAGGATGCAGGGTACTGTAGCTACAGGATGCAGGGTACTGTAGCTACAGGATGCAGGGTACTGTAGCTACAGGATGCAGGGTACTGTAGCTACAGGATGCAGGGTACTGTAGCTATAGTAGCTACAGGCTATTGTAGCTATTAGTCCAATATTAATCTTGTTAATCCAATTTTTAAGGAAACAAGTCTATGCCGAGGACCAATCAGCGACTTTTGTTGAACCTTGGGAATACTACACACAAAAGCACAATGTTAGACTGCTACAGGTATTGGAAATGAGATCTAGATTAGTTAGAGCTAGATCTAGAGTTAGATCATCTAGAGCTAGATCTAGATCATCTAGAGCTAGATCTAGATTATCTAGAACTAGAGCTAGATCATCTAGATCTAGAGCCAGATCGTCTAGATCTAGATCTAGAGCTAGAACTAGAGCTAGATCATCTAGAACTAGAGCTAGATCATCTAGATCTAGAGCTAGATCATCTAGATCTAGATCTAGAGCTAGAACTAGAGCTAGATCATCTAGAACTAGAGCTAGATCATCTAGAACTAGAGCTAGATCATCTAGATCTAAAGCCAGCTCATCTAGATCTAGACCTAGATCATCTAGATCTAGATCTAGATCATCTAGATCTAGATCTAGATCATCTAGAACTAGATCTAGCTCCAGATCATCTAGCTCTAGATCTAGAGCTAGAGCTAGATCATCTAGATAATCTAGCTCCAGATCTAGCTCCAGATCATCTAGAGATCTTCTTTAGGAACACACGGGTAACTTCAACTCGTATCCCACTGATGACACTCCATTGTATTGGCAACTCCCGAAGAGTTTCCTTGGTGATCGCACTGGATCTTACAATGGTTTTTTGAGGTTTAAGGTGATCACTCTTTTTCAGAACTCATAGCTCATCTCATAGCTTTTTTTCTATTTAAATGTTTATCTTCGAATTCTAGATCGCGAACAACGACAATCGGCTGGGAATTCAAGGAGTTCGTCCGAATCCAAAAGTTTTCCGATATTTCCCTCAAGTTCGTGGAAAACTAGATCAAGATAGATCTATCTAGAGCTAGATCTAGATATTGAAGATCTATCTATGGCTATCTATGGCCAGCTATCTATATCTATCCAAATCTAGATCTAGATATTGAAGATCTATCTGGGTCTAGCTATTGAATATCTATATCTATCCAAAACTGGATCTAGCTATTGAATATCTATCTACAGCTAGATCTAGCTATTGAATATCTATCTACGTCTAGCTATATCTATCTAGATCTATCTACATCTAGATCTAGCTATTGGCTATCTATCTACATCTATCTACATCTTATCTACATCTATCTAGATCTACCCAAATCTATCTAGTTCTATCAACATCTATCCAAATCGATCTACCTATTAAATATCTATATCTACCCTTCAGATCCAACAACTGAAGATCTGATTATCTTTAGGTAGTCCTTGTTGGCAACAATCGCATCGAACTCGAGCATATTCCATTTGAAATCGCTGATGACGGAAAGTACAAGGTAGGTAATAAAAAAAGCTATAAAGTCGTGGATTTTGTGCTGATCAGATCATCCAATATATCAGATCATCTAATTGATCAGATCATCCAATAGATCAGATCATCCAATAGATCAGATCATCCGTGACAAGGGGATGACAAGGGGATGACCAGGGAATGACAAGGGGATGACCAGGGAATGACAAGGGGATGACAAGGGAATGACAAGGGAATGACAAGGGGATGACAAGGGGATGACAAGGGGATGACAAGGGGATGACAAGGGGATGACAAGGGGATGACAAGGGGATGACAAGGGGATGACAAGGGAATGACAAGGGGATGACAAGGGAATGACAAGGGGATGACAAGGAGATGACAAGGGGATGACATTTAGAAAAGCTTCGATTTTGTCGGTTTCTAGGGGGCGACAATGGCCAGGGAATGACAAGGGGATGGCAAGGGAATGGCCAGAGATGAAAAGCTCATCCAATTGATCAGAAGATCCGGATCAAGTCAGAAGATCCAATCGATCAGCTCATCCAAATCGATCAGCTCATCCAAATCGATCAGCTCATCAATTCAGAAGATCCGAAGCAAATCAGAAGCTGACTCATCCCGTCCTTTAGCGCTAAATTCTTCATTTTTCTTCATACAATGTTTTAAATGAAGAATTCAGAGGATGCGTTAGACTTTTGATTTTGTCTTTTGTCTTTTGATCAGATTTGAATTGTCTTTTGAAGTAAAAGTGCGTCTAATCGAGTGTCAAATCTATCTAACCTAAATCTCTTTATATTAATAGCAAAATTTGCATAGATTCGAATCCACGAGTCCGAGTGGCGCAGTCGACTCTCTCCTGAAGTCCCAGTGACACGAAAGCTTCTAATGGTGGCTCTGCAAAACGTTCAGGTATCAGAAATAGTCTTCTTTCTATCGAAAACAAGCTAAATTTTCTCCCTAAAACTCGTTTTTAAATCTTTAGGCCGTTTACATTCGTGGCTCGTACAATTATCCATCGCGTGGTGACTCGATCTCGATTTCAGAGGTACTATAGCGTTCATTTGATAGTTATAGGCGGCGTAGTTATTCAGTAGTATTGTATGTCTGAGTTTTTTATAGACTTCCCTTGATGTGGCCACAAAGGACACTCAAGGATCACCGGCAATTGGAGTTGAGCAGTGTCATCAATGCCCGGATGGGTGGGTTTAGAACTACCCCTGGATGGTCTACAGGATCTACAGGATCTATAGGAGGGTCTACAGTACCTCTGGATAGAGCTACAGTATCTACAGCTACTATATCTCTCGGTAGAGCTACTGTATCCCTACGTAGAGCTAGTATCCCTGCGTAGAGCTACAGTATCTCTGGATAGAGCTACAGTATCTACAGCTACTGTATCTCTGGGTAGAGCTAGTATCTCTGGGTAGAGCTAGTATCTCTACGTAGAGCTAGTATCCCGTAGAGCTACCTTATCTCTCAGTAGAGCTACTGGATCCCTACGTAGAGCTGCAGTATCTCTGGATAGAGCTACAGTGTCTCTACGTAGAGCTACAGTATCTACAGCTACCGTATCTCTCGGTAGAGCTACAGTATCCCTACGTAGAGCTAGTATCTCTGGATAGAGCTAGTATCTCTCGGTAGAGCTAGTATCCCGTAGAGCTACCGTATCTCTCGGTAGAGCTAGTATCCTGTAGAGCTAGTATCCCTACTTAGAGCTAGTATCCCTACGTAGAGCTACAGTCTGTCATAGATACAGTCCTCTCAACTACAGTAACCAAGGAGCTGTAAGGATAAAAGGCAACGATACTTATCCAACTCATTAATCAAATCATTATCCAATCGATTTTCCAGCTATGGTGGCGCATCGTGTCAAGATCCAGCTGAAGGCTTTTGCCGACGAAGAGCCAACAATTTCTTGGATAAAGTCGACGAATTGGCGCCAGTTGGATGGAGTGAACCGTGCGCTTGCAATGCTCACACAACGACTTGCCATCCAGAGACTTGTCTTTGCACGGTAAGCAGTTACTTAGCAGTTAGCAGATCTGTAAATCTTAGCCCAGGCTCAGGCTCAAGCTCAAGCCCAGGCTCAGGCTCAGGCTCAAGCTCAGGCTCAAGCTTAGCTCTTCCTGCGTATTATAAAGCATTTACAGGATTGTGAGCACAATACATGGGGTGATCGATGTGAATTGTGCAAGCCAGGCTTTGTCGGAGACGCGACTCGTGGTGGCAGTGCGGCTTGTACGAAATGCGCTTGTCCGTTAACGGAAAACTCGTTCAGGTGTCAAAATCTGAATCTCTTGGGTTTTTTAATCAGATCAGATCAAAACCAAATCAAAACCAAATCAAAACCAAATCAAAACCAAATCAGAACAAGCGATCGTTTATCAATTCCTAATAGAAAGCTCTACGTTTTTTCTGCTTTTAAAGTCATTCTAGTGCTTTTAAAGTCGTCTGAAAGCTGAATATTGTCTTAAATGAATGTCTTAAATACTGCAATGAACTACGGCAGCTTTAGCCCAGGCTCAGGCTCAGGCTCAAGCTCAAGCCCAGGCTCAGGCTCAAGCTCAGGCTCAGGCTCAGGCTCAAGCTCAGGCTCAAGCTTAGCTCTTCCTGCGTATTATAAAGCATTTACAGGATTGTGAGCACAATCCTGTAAATTAATCTTTAAGAACTTTTTCAGTGAAACGTGTGTACAAACTGACTACGGTCGTGGATATCTTTGTGATGCTTGCAAGCCTGGATATACTGGACAATATTGTGAGAGGTTTGTTGAATGGATTGAATAGATTGAGTAGATTGAATAGATCGTTCAATAGATTGAATAGATCGTTCAATAGATCGACTTAGATCAACCTAGATCAACCTAGATCAACGTAGATCAACCTAGATCAACCTAGATCAACCTAGATCAACCTAGATCAACTTAGATCAACCTAGATCAACTTTAGAAAACTATTATAATCTAAAAAGATCGGATAAACCAAGAAAGCACCTTAATCCACAATTTCATTAGCTCATTGCCGATTTACTCATTGATATCATTCAAATGATATCGAGAATCAGAATTGAATCAGAATTGAAGCTGATTTGAATCAGAACTGAATCAAAACCAAACCAGAGTCAAACCAGAACCAAATCAAAACCAAATCAGAACCAAATCAGAACCAAATCTGTGATCTAGCCTCATCAAATCATGTAGTCAACTCTATTTTCAGCTGTGTTGCTGGCTATTATGGTGATCCGTCAGCAGTTGGTGGACAGTGTGTGCAATGTGATTGTCATCCTGATGGATCTCTGCATGGATCGTGTCACCCATTGACCGGAGCCTGTGAATGCAAGTAAGACTTTGGAAACAAGAAAATCGCTTTGGATTTGTCTGTAGTCTATAAGGGTACTGAAGCTTGAAAAGTTCTTTGTTGTAGCTCTGTAGCTTGTTACTCCGCTTTAGCTTAAGGGTACTGTAACTCGAGAAGTACTATAGCTTAGAAAGTACTGGACTGTGCTGGACTGTACTGTACCGGACTGGACTGAACTGGACTGGACTGGACTGTATTGTACCGGACTGTACTGGACTCGACTGTACTGTACTGTACTGTGCTGTATTGTACCCGACTGTACTGTACTGTACTGGACTGACTGTACTGCACTGTACTGTGCTGTATAGTACCGGACTGTACCCGACTGTACTGTACTGTACTGTGCTGTATTGTACTGTACTGTACTGTACTGTACTGGACTGTACTGTGCTGTATTGTACTGTACTGTACTGTACTGGACTGGACTCTACTGCACTGTACTGGGCTGTACTGTACTGCACCGTACTGGACTGGACCGTACTGGGCTGTACTGTATTGTACCGGACTGTCCTGTACTGTGCTGTACTGTACTGTACTGTACTCTACTTTGCTGTACTGTACTACACCGTACTGCATTGTACTACTGTACTGTACTGTACTGTATTGTACTGGACTGTACTGGACCGTACTCTACTGTACTGTATTCTACTGTATTGTACTGTAGTGTACTGTACTGGTCTGTACTGCACTGTACTGGGCCGTACTGTACTGTACTGTATTGCACTGGGCCGTACTGTACTGTGCTTTACTGTACGGTACTTTGCTGTACCGTACAGTAAAGCTTTGCTGTACCGTACTTTGCTGTACCGTACACCGTACTGTCCTGTACTGTAGATCAACTACTTCCCTGTACCCTGGACAATCTCTAGATCCTTTTATCTAAACGATATTTTAGACCTGGTGTGACCGGTCGTGACTGTTCCCGTTGTCAAGAGCGACACGCATTTATTAACAGAAAGTGTACATCATGCGATCAAGGTTGTTATCTCTCATTGATGTTGGATATTGATGATTTGGAAGAGACACTAGCTGAACAGGTAATCTTTAAGCATTTTAAAGAATTGGAAAGATAGAAACCAAGGGGAATCGAACCTCGATCTTCTGCTTCTCTTCAGCTTCCTTTCTGCTTTCTTTCTTCTTTCCAGTCTTGAGCTATTGCCTTCTTTTCAAAGAAATAGGAAAGATCAAGAAGGAAGGAAGGAAGGAAGCTTCATTATTAGCTTCATTATTAGATTTCTTTTCAGAATTTCACAAATCTTCGTCCAATTCCATGGAAACGAATTTCTCGAATCGAAAATAATACAAAATGTGAGTGAAATGAAAGAAAAAAAAACCCAGTTTTTAGCCTTTCTTTGTACTTTTTGTTTAAAGTCTATAAACATAAGCCAAACAATGAACTGAATTCATCAGAAATTCATCTTTTTCTTCAGTAAACCACAGCTTTCTGTGCACTAGAAAGCTGTGATTGCGTTTAACAGCGTTCAGCAGCGTTCAGCAGCGTTCAGCAGCGTTCAGCAGCGTTCAGCAGCGTTCAGCAGCGTTCAGCAGCGTTCAGCAGCGTTCAGCAGCGTTCAGCAGCGTTCAGCAGCGTTCAGCACAACGTACAAGTGTTTAACAGCGTTCAGTACAAAGTACAAGCGTTTAGGAGCGTTCAGCACAAAGTACAAGTGTTTAACAGCTTTCAGTACAAAGTACAAGTGTTTAACAGCGTTCAGTACAAAGTACAAGTGTTTAACAGCTTTCAGTACAAAGTACAAGTGTTTAACAGCGTTCAGTACAAAGTACAAGAGAGAATCTTTCTTGTAAATCGTTTCTTTTCTTGGATTTTCTTTTAGAAAATCTAGAAAATCAAGAAAATGATCTCGAAAATCTTTTTATCTTCTTTCTATTTAGTGCTCTTTTCGTTCGTTGGTGGCCTTCAAATGAATCCAAATGAGATGAATGTTTTGGATTTCGATGGGAAAACGAAATATGCAAAAGAAGCTGGTTCGATTATTGATGAGGTAAGGGGAAATGATTGGAAATGAGTGGAAATGAGTGGAAATGATTGGAAATGATTGGAAATGCTTAGAAATCATCGAAAATAGATAAAAATCATCGAAAATCATCGAAAATGATCGAAAATGCTTAGAAATCATCGAAAATAGATAAAAATCATCGAAAAACAGATGGAAAGGCTTAAAAATCATCGAGAAATAGATACAAATCATCGAAAATGCTTAGAAATCATCGTAAAATAGATAAAAATCATCGAAAATGCTTAGAAATCATCGTAAAATAGCTACAAATCATCCAAAATCATCGAAAATGCTTAAAAATCATCGAGAAATAGATAAAAATCATTGAAAATCATCGAAAATCATCGAAATTCATCGAAAAACATTGAAAATCATCGAAAAACATCGAAAAATCATTAATAGTAGTGCTCTAATAGTAGTGAATCCTTCGCTTTGCCTAAATTCCTCGAAATCTCGAGAACCGCTTATCAGAACGTATTGATGTGGGGTCGGAAAATGTAGCTGACGATGAGATCTAGTGGGGGATTTGAGTGTTGAGCTTCTGGGAAAGCTTGGAAGCTGTAAAATAGTCACCAACACGTTCCTAACGTGCTCGCAACTCTGGTTATTTTCTCTAATAGTAGTGCACCCTGATTAACCCCTTCGTTCTCAACCCCATTTTAAGATATTTTTATGTTTTATATACCAAAAGATAGCCCTTGATTTTCTCTATCTTTTCGTATATTAAACATAAAAATATCTCAAAATTGAGCTGAGAACGAGGGGTTTAAAGTTGGTCGAGAGAGGTAGAGGAAATACGGTAAACACCCCAGCTTTGATCGTCTATAACATTGCCTAGAGCTAATATTATTCTTATCTTTTTATATCTTTGTATAGAAGACATTAAGGGCTATCTTTTCGTATATTAAACATAAAAATATCTCAAAATTGAGCCGAAAACGAGGCGTCTAAAGTTGGTCGAGGGGTCGAGGACGAGGGCCAACTTTAGACGCCTCGTTCTAAACCCCAGTTTGAGATACTTTTATGTTTTATATACCAAAAGATAGAGAAAATTAAGGGCTATCTTTTCGTATATTAAACATAAAAATATCTCAAAATTGAGCCGAGAACGAAGCGTCTAAAGTTGACCCTCGTCCTCGACCCCTCGACCAACTTTAGACTCCTCGTTTGCGCGAAATTCCTCGAAATCTCGAGAACCGCTGATCAGAACGTATTGATGTGGGGTCGGAAAATGTAGCTGACGATGAAATCTAGTGGAGGATTTGAGTGTTGAGCTTCTGGGAAAGCTTGGAAGCTGTAAAATAGTCACCAACTCGGCTTGGCGGCGTGCATCATTAAAAATCATCAAAAATCTTTAAAAATCGTCGAAAGCCCATCAAAATTCATCAAAAAATCATCAAAAAATCATCAAAAATCATCAAAAATCATCAAAAATCTTTAAAAACCATCAAAAATCATCAAAAATCATCAAAAATCATCCAAAAAACCTCAAAAACCATCAAAAAAACCATCAAAACCCATCAAAATCTAGCTAAAAATCGATCTAGAATCATCTAATAAACGTTTTAAATAAAGAAAACCAATTTAATCTATCAAAAATTGATTTTAAATGAATAAAAACAATTAAATCAAATTCTATCCTCTAGCGATTTTCCTCTCCCTTTCCTTTAAGAGCCCCTCTTTCCCCCGCCTCCCCCAATGCTCATTTGGCCGAGGGGTTAGCGTGCTCGCTTTCGCCGCCACTCATCGAGGGTTCGACCCCCACCACTGACTTCGGGAAAGTCGTTTGCGGATAGGAACCAGTACGGGTACTTTACTCGTCATGGGCCGAAAACCGCGCAAATAACTAGGAGGGAAATGGTCGGATGTTGGAGAGAAATACGCCAATGTCCATTACCACCCTGACTTAACATTTTGAAATTTAGCGAGTGATTTGAAAGCTGAGATTCGAAAAATCAATTTCAGGCGAATTTCATGTTGGATCGAGCTGAACGAGCTGAAGATGACATTCTTAACTTTACGAAAAGAGCCGAAATCATCGCATTAAATGCTCAAAAAGCCTACAAGGACTCTTTCAACACAACGCAATTCCTCAAATATTTCTCGAGATATGGTAAGGAGGGGAAAAGTTGCTAGCAGGAAAAGTTGCTAGCAAATCACGTTGCTTAGATCAAGATGGCTCTCTTCCTCTCTCTTTTCCCCCTCTTCGCTGATGACCGTTTGGCTGAGTGGCTAGCACGTTAGCTTTTAACGCGATTCATTGAGGGTTCGATCCCCGATAGTGCTTGAGGATAGAAAACAGTGCTATGTTGAATATAAAAGGGGAATATCAAGGGAAAACTTAGGCGGAACAACGGTCGGCTCGAGTCAAATCGAGATGTGGGCGGCTGAGTCCGAAGCTCATATGAATGCGACGATTGAGAGAGGAGAATATGTTGAGAAGCGGCATGACAGAGTCGAGGATACAAAGGTTTCATTTGTCGCTAATTTTTTTCTAGAGGGCTCTACAGGGCTCTACAGGAGTCTAGAGGACTCTACAGTAATCTAGAGGACTCTACAGTAGTCTAGAGGACTCTACAGTAGTCTAGAGGACTCTACAGTAATCTAGAGGACTGTACAGTAGTCTAGAGGACTGTACAGTAATCTAGAGGACTCTACAGTAGTCTAGAGGACTCTACAGTAGTCTAGAGGACTCTACAGTAATCTAGAGGACTCTACAGTAATCTAGAGGACTCTACAGTAGTCTAGAGGACTCTACAGTAGTCTAGAGGACTCTACAGTAGTCTAGAGGACTGTACAGTAGTCTACAGTACTCTAATACATGGCCAAATTTAGGGAAAAACAGACGATTTGGCGAAAAAAGTAACCCAGTTGAAGCTAAACGATACGGCTTTCGAGTACATCAAGAAGGTGAATTTCGTTTCATAAATTTCATTAAAACTTCAATAATCCGAAGAGCGACTGGAGATTTCAGCAATAAATGCAAATTTAATTTCAGCGTTTCGCTGATCTCGAGATTTTGGTGGAAGATTTCCGGACAACAATCTACGAAAAAGCGAAAAGAGATGGAGGAGACGCGAGTCGAATGAGTACAGTTGTCGCCAAAAGAATCGATCGATATAAGGTATAGTTTTGAAAATTTGCATAAACACAACCTTTCTGGGGCACTGAATTCTTTTCATTCACTGAATACCATGAAAAAAGGGGAATTGAAGAATTCAGTGGGCTAGAAAGGGTGTCTTTCGACTAGGAGCATTAGAAAAGCTTGGCAAGAGTTGTCAAGAGTTGTCAGGAGTTGTCAGAAGCTGCCAAGAGTTGTCAGGAGTTGTCAGAAGCTGCCAAGAGTTGTCAAGAGTTGTCAGAAGCTGCCAAGAGTTGTCAGAAGCTGCCAAGAGTTGTCAAGAGTTGTCAGAAGCTGCCAAGAGTTGTCAAGAGTTGTCAGGAGTTGTCAGAAGCTGCCAAGAGTTGTCAAGAGTTGTCAGAAGCTGCCAAGAGTTGTCAGGAGTTGTCAGAAGCTGCCAAGAGTTGTCAAGAGTTGTCAGAAGCTGCCAAGAGTTGTCAGAAGCTGCCAAGAGTTGTCAAGAGTTGTCAGAAGCTGCCAAGAGTTGTCAAGAGTTGTCAGGAGTTGTCAGAAGCTGCCAAGAGTTATCAGGAGTTGTCAGAAGCTGCCAAGAGTTGTCAGGAGTTGTCAGGAGTTGTCAGAAGCTGCCAAGAGTTGTCAGAAGCTGCCAAGAGTTGTCAAGAGTTGTCAGAAGCTGCCAAGAGTTGTCAGGAGTTGTCAGGAGTTGTCAGAAGCTGCCAAGAGTTGTCA